TTCACCACTAATTGTGTGACCGCCAATGCCACCTCAGTCATTGATACCATTAATGCCCACTCTTATGTCCACAAAAGCAGTTATTCCATTGGATCCAAAGGAAATGCCGCCAACTCCGACTATTGTTGCAAGTGCACCAAATTTTGTATCCCAGTCTAGGGGCCGATGGCTTAGTGTAGGCTTACCCACTCCTACCAATCCAGGCTGATGAATCCTTTTGCATCCTATCGAAGAGAGGTAATTTACTATTATTAGCTTATTTCATTATATGTAGTAATTTCATTAATGTGTTCTAATAAAGATGTATTTATTTTGTAGTACTTTTGCGAAGACTTGAGTGACTCCAACCATCATGAGAATAATCAAAAGTCACCTCAGTAGGCCTTGGCCGACAGGGAGGTTGATTCCTATCATTGTGAAAGATGTCATGTGGCATAAATTTGAGGTACCATATTGTTATTGTATATTTATCCAGGTTTCCTTTAACAAACTGATATAAATATTTATTTTAATGTAAAAGTCTTTTACGTGGACTAATACTAATGCTTCAACGGTCTACAATGTATGGGAGAATATTTGGAAAGACTGATTAAAAAATTTGTTAATAGATGAGCATGAGAAAGTCAAGAGGGACGTGGGACGCGGACACTCATCATGATCTTTTCTTAACTAAGGGAAAGGCATGCCCCTAGATCATAATAGAGGTTTGGGATCAACTAGTTGATAATGTCTGGGCCACGCTCGAGTGGCAATGTCAATCCGTGAAGGCCCAGCAAAACTGCATAACAAAGAAGGACGGTGCCATAGCAAAGCACACAAGGGGTTTTTTACCTTTTGCTTTACATCAGAAGAAAATGGTTCATGTTCTTAAGTTGTAAAGTCAATATTGTGAGCATTTTGATGTTGTTGTTGTGTTGTTGATGATTGCGAAGTGAAACCATGGATATGTTTTGATGATGCATTTGTTTTTCTTTTGAGTGTGTTATGTATTGTTGTTTTACGATTTTAAAACATATTGTCATTGTGTTGTTGAAGATTGCGGAAACATGCATATTGGTGATCATGCATTTTTTTTCTTATTGTGATTGCAGTCCGAGATGCTATAAAGATCAACGACATTCTCTGAGGTTTTTGAGCACATTCACAAGCGACAAAAAGGAATCGGAGAGTTTGTCAGCAACAAGTCGAAGACTGTTAGTGTAAGTAATAGAAATGAGTTAGTTTGTTTTAATTATATTATTGAATATGTGAATATGTTCTTTAACAACTTCATTAATATATAATGTCATTTTCTTTCTATTTGTAGGAATCATATATATTTGCTATATTGTCGAAGTACAATGATGATCCATCAACCCAACTAGAGTTCGATCTAGTAGCATGATTTGAGGCAATTAGAGGGTCGTAAACCACTCAAACCCACATCTACGGGTTTAGCACCAGGATGTGACCTACTACATTATTTGCTCCAACTACGATATCTGAGTTTGTTTGTGGTCTGATGCATTCTATTGCTGCTGCACGAGTTTCATCCATCTGAACTTAAGGGCTATCAAGAAGTGAAGACCGATGTGAAGGAGTTGAAGACTGACGTGCATGATATTAAGTCCATCATAAAGTTTATCCTTGAGAGGCTTCAAGATCAAGTTGGCAGGTCTTCATCATCAAAGCAGTTACATCCTCAGTCACAACAGCAATCTCCCCTTCCTAATGGTTTGGCAGATGGACAATCGTAATTCCTTTTTGTTGTGCTATAGATTCCTTATATTAATGCTTTTCACTGACTTTAAACATTTCTTTTTTTAATTTTCAAAATATTTGGTATGTTTTTTTCATTATATAATGCATTTGGAGTAATTTTTCACACAAAATTGTTACTTTTAATATATTAATATTATTATTTAATGCAAAAACACAAAATATAAAAAAAAATATAAAATTAATTATTACCGATAAAATTCTTTTAATATTGACATATTTTATTTTTTTCACCGACAAAATTTGCTTCATTACCTACAAAATAATACCCATTATCGACGGAATAACTAAAAAATTTTAGTTGCTAATTCCATCAAGAATGTAATCCGTCTGTAAATTACTAAAAACTTTGCCAATGTTGAGATCTGTCAGTATTTTTTCGATAGATTTACTAACAACAAAACTTTCAATCAGTGACTTTATTGGTGGATTTTTGACATCACCAATAAATTTTTTGATCGACAGATTGAATTTTTTATCAACAAAAACTTTATTTGATGATGCTTTTGACAGAATTTTAAAATATTGACGGAAACTTATTACCGACAAGGGTATTTTCAATTGATTAACGACAAATTTTTTTATCAGTAATTTTAATTACCGATGGAATGCACACCCTCACTGATGAAATTTTTTATCAATAAAACCTAATTTTTTAGTAGTGTTCTACCATATAAACTCTATGGTGCTCCTGAAGATAATAAGGTGTGGATACAAATATTTGTATCGTGTGCATGTATATATGTATATATTGGTATATTATGAGTAACTTTTTTCTTTTAATTTTCTATATATATATATATATATATGTCAACATGACTTACCATAGTATAACAGGACAATTTTGTTGTTGCAATCACACTTTCAGAACATGTAATCTAATATCAAATAAGGTGATGTGACCCTCTACACAGAACAAAGCCAAAAGACAGGGTGTTGTCTTGGTTTCAAGTTGGTTGGATAAAAATGTAATGAAGTGGAGTGAAAAAAATTGTTTTAATTATTCATGATTTTTGTGCAATATTTTATTTTTTTCGTAATTTTTAAATTTATAATTTCTCAAAAAAGTTTCAAATTCATTTATTTTGTCAAATTATCTTTAAAAATTAACGAAATATGTTATCTCACCATATGAATGCCTGTATAGTATAAATCTTAGTCCAAAAGATCAAACATGTCTCCTTTCTTTACCATGTGGATGTCCAAGTGCCTGAGTCTTACTTATTTTTACCATGTGAACATGTATATGAATGTTTAATTATCAACGAAATGAATAAATTTAGAATATTCTAAAAATTACTTGCGAATTTTATTAAGATGATGGATGTGTTTGTACAATTTGCTCAAGGTGTAATCCAGCTTAAGAGAAAATAAAATAAATCAAGAATGTGTTGAGTTGCTTAAAGTGGCTACTGAGCCAAGCCCTAAAGGAGTCTGCAAAACTGCTATTCTCCCCTTAACAAAATGTACTCCTGGAACTGACAGGAGTAATTAAAATCTAGTAATCCAAGTACCCTGGAGAAGGTTAAGTAGCCCAGGATGAAGCTCCCCCTCCATGAACTGCCTCAGGAAAATAGCATGAAAAGCAATTGAAGAATGAAGAGTGATCAGTCTGAGTCTGTAAATTATTGCATATGAAATATGTAGGCTTTGCCAAATCTGGAATAATGTCCCACATTCTGCTTGAAAAAAATTATGTTGTCACTGGAAGACGAAAGTTTCTGGTAGATGGAAACACATGTACAGCTAGACTCTGGTTTGCTTTTTCCTCCACCATCCCCCACCCACAAGAATCCAGCTCTCAGCCATGAAAAATTGGCAAATATTTTTTTTATAAAAAAAAGGGGAAAAATCATTGCTCCATATTTATAAATTTGACACTAGTATTGGCCAAAATGAAAGAACATAAGCATGAGTCTCTGTACCAACTTGACTGAGCAGGCTCTAATTCATGTGATACCAAAAATCCAAGTTTGTCCCCTGTTTTTGTAGTTTCCAGTGGATCCAATCTTGAAGAAACGAGATATGATCACTCCCAGTCTTCATTTTACTATCAAAGCATCCTTCATTTTATGAAATAGCATATGTATACTTCATTTTACCATCAAAACATACTCAATAATATACGGCTGTCAGTCAGGCTGCCAGTGGCAAATGATCTTTGTTCCAAATATGTCTCAATATCACTCATTTCGACCCATCAAATTGAACCGTTCATATATACTGTGTACATGGTCTAAACAGAAACAAAAGACAATATGTTCACATCAAGTGCACCCACTCTTTCTTTGTCAATTGAGATGGATGTTATGTCAGTTTGTGATAGGGTTTCCTTTCAGGCAGCTGCTCGCTTCACCTTTCACACAGCATGATTCAAGTTCTTCCCCCCCACCCCCACAGCGAGGAGTACCAACTGACAGGTCCGAGACAACTTCATCTTTTAAAGTCAAAACTTCAAAGGAAACGTGTTAAGCAAATGTTGTACTAAGCTTGGGTTTGCCATGGACTGACGGACACCATACCAACTCAATGTATTGGTTAATTATGCTTGGACAATAAATAAGCCCAATCAAGTGTTTTGCATTTTTAATTTGTACCCAAAAAAAAGAAATATTTGCATTTTAATTTGTATTAAGAGTTAAGATTTTGATGGCTAAGCTTGACTTACTTACCATGCATGATTTTAATTTTTATCAAAGTTTCATCACCATAAAATGAAACAAACACCTTAACAAGAATGCTCAAGTTTTAGTAACATTTAAGTCCGGCCCAACCCAAATTTCTAGGTCGGACTAGGCTTTCCCCAATGCTTATGTCACATTTTTAAAATACAAATAGACAAACCAATAACCATAATCCAACTAATAAATTAAAGTTAAATTCGAATCCTTATTTACATGTTAATTATCCTTGCAAATGCTTTTTGCATTACCTTTAAGTAATAATATAACTCAAATTTCACAAAAAATTAATTGATTCAACTCAAATTATATTAAGTATAGGAAGAAATGTCGGATTATTGACTTATTAAACAAGATTGAGACATTTAACATATACTAGATTTGAAAGCCTATCTTAAAAAAAAAATAATGTTGAAAGCTAGTAAGTGTAGGTAAGCCGTTGCCCCAAAGGCACCCCTAAGCTAAGAAGAAGATAAAGTTGGTAACAAAACTAGTTGGAGGTCCATTTTCCATTTACCAACCACATTACTATCGTTTTTATGAGATTTCGTAGCACATACGTCCCTCCTTTATCAACGCAATTACATAATGCCACGTATCATCCAAGATTAGATGCCTGGATCCCAGACCTTTCCCAGTAAAAAAGGAATCTATTAGATGTTGGAGCCTGTTGGTCCTTCTGCTTTATTTCCATCGCTAAAATTCTGGAATCTTCGGAAGAGGTCTCTTTTTTCTTTTACCTAGCTAGTTCAACTATAGCAAGAAGGCAGGCCCCAAACTCCTCTTTCAACAGTCCACACAGTTCAAAGTCGAAAATTGCTTTCAAGGTAAAGTCTCCTCCTTTTTCCTTCGTCAAGATGCTTTTCTTTTCTTTGTTTTTTCTTGGGCTTTCAAAGCAATGACATTTTGATTGGGGGTTTCCTCTTTCAGCTTAATTTTTCTGCTTTTGATCTTTATATTCATTTCGATCCCTTTTTGAAGTTCTGGGTATTTGTGGGTTTGGCTTGGCATCAACTGCTTCTTTGCTTAGTGGTAATTTCTTTCTCGTTGAGTGTAGTTGGTTTTTGGTTTTTGGTTTTGTCTGCGTGTTCCTGTTACGATTTTATTTGAATGAAACTATTTCTATTTAAGGAGGAAACAAAAACAAAGAGAGTATACTGAAGTTGTTTCTATGTGATTAGAACCAATTGCTTTATTGTGATTAACGAACTGAGTAGGTTTGCATTGTCGTTGTCAGAGTCCAGAAGATTCTGAGAAAATTTTGGGATATAGGTTGTTGATTTGTGTAATTTGGTCTATGTATTAGAAGGTGCAGAGTCAATTAACATTGGAGATTACATAGAGTGCGTGAAGAGCCCCTTTTTCTCCTTCTTTATATCTATGTCCCTCTGCTCTAGATAATCTTCCTTCACTGAGGTTATCCCTGGAAAGTTTCTTATCGGCTAAGGTGTTAGGGGAGTTTTAGGTTCAGCTTGTCCATGACCCAGGTGATTAATAATTGGAAATTGTTTGATAGAGTAAGGTATTTGTTCCTTCCCCTTTTTTCAATTTTTGATGCTGCTGTTGTAAGTTGAAATAGAAGGGTAGTTGTTGATGAAAAGTTAATGGTTAAACACTTTAAATGTGTGGAGCTCAGTTGAACAGGAATGGATATAAGAATTGAAAAAGGAAAATAAAACTGATATGATTATCAATTTGGTCACTGGTTGTAGGTTAGAGATTGATACAGATTATTGTCATCTGCATGAGCTGCACTTTTTCCTGCCATGTAAATTACTAATACAGTCAGTTTTTCTCATATGAAGCATATGGATTGTTTCTTATACAGAGACTTTTCCAATTTCTTCCCCTCGACATGATCAATGATTGTAGTTTAGAAGGCAATGGTTGCCCAACCTGAAGTAAATGGAAACCAATGGTAGCAATCGTTGTTCCCATGAAAATCAGCCTCCAACGGGTTCAAACAATGCTAACAAAGATCAATCCACTGAGAAGGAGGTTTTTGTTAACCATGGTATGTTGCTGACTTGCTATTAAAGGCTATCGATTTTCTCCCAGGAAGCCTGTCATTCTGATGAAATCTGCCTTCCATGTGACTGTTGAATAGTAAACTGCTTTTTTGAAAATCTTACTAGAATTGAAAGCAATTAGATTAGCTCTGAGCATACTCAAACTTCATACCTGAATAATTTCCTGCAGTCTTTTTTCAGGAAGCCATTTTGAATTTTTAGTATTGATATTGTATCTGCTAGGTGGGTTGCATGTGATGAATTCATTTTATTTCCTCAGTGTTGATGTAGTCAGGTAACTTGAGAATCAAATGTTATTCAGAAGGTGGTTTTAGATGCGGGGCTAGGTGTCAATGTTTTTTAATGAGTATATAGTTTAACGATGCCTTTTAATAGTGGCCTTATCTGATATGAACTTCAGTAGCGGAGGATTTATCAACATATATTGGCGTGAAATGGGTCTGATCTGTTTACTGTTTGGACTTGTTGGTGTCGGGTGTATGAGTTTCCTCGATAAAGGGGCTATATGCTAAAATGTAATTTGTGGTATGGCCATAGTTGGTACTTTTCTTCTGCAAATTATTGCTTGTATTAATTCCAAAGGAGATTGCCGAAATCAATATTTTATTCTATTTTTTACCCCCTTAATGTGAGTATTTTGCTACTTCTTGTTAAAAGCAATTTGAAATAGAGTTGTGCATGCTGAAATAATGCGCACAAGCTTACTGTGCAGCTGAAATAAGTTGGCATGAGATTAGAAGACAGTGGGTTGGGGATCAGTCTCAAAAATCAAAAAGAATGCCCCGGGAACCAATAATGAGGTATATGCCTGGAGATTTTTCCCCTCTTCTCTTAGAATCTTCCTATTCAAATATTTGAGTGCCATTGGTGATGTGTTGTTCACTAAATTCTCAAAACCTAGCTTTTAAAAACTTTAGTAAGAAGAACAATTTAGTTTCTTAAACCTTAGCATTTATATAGTGCATAATCTACTTTGTCATGCTGCTTTAAGTCAGCTTCTGGACATTCACTTTCCTCTCTTCTCAGACTGCTTTGTGTGAATCTCTCCTTAAAGTAATGAGTACTATTGGTGGTAGTTACTGTTTGCTTTATCGCTCTTATTTAAACATAAGTTTTAAACTCTTAATTGTAGACATATGAATTTTTGAAACCAAGCAAAGGATATCTTTTGATGCTGCTTTAAGCCACTTTTTGGACTTGCCACTTCCCCTCCTTTATGAACCAAATAGGGTGTATGAAGTTTGTGTCTCTACTCCAAGATGTGTATCTAGTTGACATTCCTTCAGATGTAATTAGGAAAGCAATAAAATAAAAATATATGCTCCTGAATTCTTTCTGTCTTTTCCCTTATAGTGCAGCCACATAATATGCTTTGATTCTTAGGTTGCACGTTTACCTTCCATATATTCTTTTTTTTTTTTCAGAAAACCATGGATACATACAATACTTATGTGTATAGTGTTGCCTATAAAAAGAGAAAATAGAAGAAGAAGAAAGATTACCTGACACTATCACAGGCTTCCTGTGCCACTGTACTTCGCTTCAATTTTTGATGTAGCAGGCTTGCCCTTGTTCATCTAATCATTGGAATTCAATTTACACATTGTGATGGCGATCAAATGATCTTTTCTTTCTTTTCTCTTTTAGTAGTTTGAGGGTGTCAGTCATTTTAGGAGTCATTTCATTGAGAAACCATCAAGGTGCTTCCTGGAATATAACCTTACATCTGTGATTATAGCTGTCCTAGACTTAAAAGTTCCTCTCATTCTTTAACCTTGGAATCTCCTTTGGCAGCTGGACCACAACTTATGAGGATTTGCTTTGTTCTACTGAACCTTTTCAACAGTCAATCCCATTAGCTGTAAGTGTCACAGAACATTTTCCCTCAACTTTCAGTTTTGGGCCAACATTGATGTGTTATATGTGTGGTGAAAATGCAGGAGATGGTGGATTTTTTAGTTGACATCTGGCATGAAGAAGGCCTATATGACTAGAAAATTGGGAAATTTGTTATGGTAGTTGCACAGTTTTTGGTGCAGATGACCGAGGTGAAGCAAAACTCATAGGTTCTACAGATTTCCCCTGTCGAAACTGATTGAATGATACTAATATATTGGATTTTCTTGTTCTTGATTAGATGAACAAAAGTCATTAAATCAATCGGGTGTACAGTTCAACAGGACTTGGGGGATTTTAGTTAATGTAATTGACTAATCCTTTTTAAGTAAAGATCTATTCTTTTGGTTTGACAAAATTTTTACTTTTCTGCTGACTTATTCTGATGTTAGTGAATTCGATGATCAAATGTGTTGCTATCTTGATAAAGAAAATGGCCGAGAAAATTTGGCCAAGGGCGAGGAGAAATGACGCTGGATTCTACTTGACTTTGAATGTTGAGAGAAATTTGGATAAATACTGTTTGTAGTGTCATCGACTTATCATGTATGTTAAGTCAGAGGAAAGCTAAGATTGGTAATCAGCAATCAACCCTTGATCCAATTTTTAGCTGATGATAAATTTCCTCTTCAAACAGAGCAACCCCATATGCCAACCTACCCAAAGCAAAATTCTTTTCCAAGTTCATGAAAAGTGGGATTCTGACAATAGATGTTCATCCTTCATAGAGATGCAAAATAGATGTTTACTTAATTGTCGATTTTGCTATTTGCATTTGGTTTCTTCAAATATTGTTACAAAAGCAAAAGCAAGTGCTTAACAACAGAACGTTCTTATTTAATTATAAATGATCAAAATCATTGAACAGAACATGAACTTAATATAAGCATCAGCTAACAACAACAGCTGACCAAGACCAGGAGAATGGCCCTCCCAGTCCCGGAACAACGGTCCCTGAACTAATTTACTGAATCTTATATTTTGCTGCTCGTGACCCAACAAAAACAATAACGCCAATAAAGCTGCAAAAATGTGAAGAAATAATAATGAACCAGGGCCCAACAAGCTACCGGGCTCTTTGTTTTTCCCGGTACATGAACTTTGCCTTCTAGTTCACCCCACGAAGAAAGAAGCATTACAAGTTTGCTCTTTCTTTAGAGGTTGAAATCCAAAACAATCCGTTACCCATCAACCGCCTTGGCGCCTTTGTGGGTCATCAACCCTTGGGGCATTAAAGAAAGTCCCAAATTTGAATGATGATCAAGGATTTTTGCCAGTCATAAATTTTGAGAATTTGATAGTTATAGTATTTCGGAACAATGAAAAAGCTGGCTTTTGAAATCTCACCTGTATTACCCTTGTTAGAATCATGTAAATCCATAAAGCAAGGTTTTCAAGTTCATGCTCAAATAATCCTCAATGGCTATCACCACCAGTTCTTCCCCATCGGCAGACTCATCTCCTTCTTTGCCTTGCTGGGTTCCAGAGCTGGTCTCGATAACTCCCAAATTCTCTTCTGCCAAATTGAACATCCGAGTCAGTTTATGTATAACACCATGATAAGAGGCTTTTCCCGCAGTGAATTCCCTGAAAAAGCACTTGTCTTTTACTCATCCATGCTCCACCAAGAAAACCGACCTCCAAATAACTTCACTTTCCCATTTTTACTCAATTCTTGTGCAAGATTATCAACCCTGAAGCCAGGAATTCAAGTTCACAGTCATATAATTAAATTTGGTTTTGACTTGGATCTTTTTGTCCGGAATGCTTTGATGCACTTCTATTCAGTTTTTAAACATTTAAACGATGCCCAGATTGTATTTGAAGGAAGTCTTGTTAGAGACCTTGTTTCTTACAATACTATGATAAATGGAAGTGCTTTAGTGGGCCAACCTGACCCTTCTCTGCATCTCGTTAAAGAAATGCAAGATTTTGGTATTCAGCCTGATGAGTTCACTTTTGTTGCTTTGTTGTCTGCTTTTTCATCATGGAATGATTCTAGGATCGGGAAACAGATTCATGGTTTTGTTTATAGGAATCTATGTCGTATTGACTCCAATGTAGTGCTTAAGACTGCCATTCTTGATATGTATGCAAAATGTGGGTTGATGGATTTGGCTGAGAGGGTGTTTAGCTCAATGGCAAGCAAAAGTACTGCTGCTTGGAGTTCCATGGTATCGGGTTATGCTCGATGTGGAGAAACTGAGGCTGCTAGAAGAATGTTTGATCAGATGGACCAACGAGATCTGGTTTGTTGGACGGCTATGATAAGTGGTTATTCTCAGTCAGGGCAATACAGTGAGGCATTGGAACTTTTTCTGCAAATGGAAGGTTTGGGAATAAGACCTGATGAAGTTACATTGGCTGCTGTTCTTTCAGCCTGTGCCAGACTTGGAGCTCTCAGTTTGGGTGAGAGACTTCACCATAGGTACATTGAGAGTGGTTTATGCAGCCAAAATATTATTCTATCAAACGCATTGATAGATGTGTATTCAAAATGCGGAAAAATAGATTCTGCTCTTGATATGTTTCACAGGATTCCTAAAGATTTAAGGACTGTTTCAAATTTCAATTCCATGATCTCTGGTCTAGCTCAGCATGGGCTTGGTGAGACTGCTTTAGCTGTTTTTAGGGAAATGGAACCGATAGGGCTGAGACCAGATAGAGTCACCTTTGTGGCAGTTTTATCTGCTTGCAGCCACAGTGGGCTACTTGAAGAGGGCAAAGAGTTTTTTAGATTGATGTCGGATTTCTATGGTATTAAACCACGTATGGAACATTATGGTTGCATGGTTGACCTCCTTAGCAGAGATGGTTGTTTGGAAGAAGCTTATGATATAATTCTAGGTATGCCATTTGAGGCCAACTCAGTAATATGGAGAGCATTGTTGGGTGCTTGCAAACTCCATGGAAATGTTAAGATTGGTGAAGTTGCTGGCCAAAAACTTATTGCACTGGAGCCTGATCATGGAGCTCGTTATGTTTTGTTGTCCAACATGCTTGCCAATTCAAACCAATGGGAAGAAGCTGGGAGAGTGAGGAAGGTGATGGAAGATAGAGGCATCCAGAAGCCCCCTGGGTGGAGCTACACTGAGTTGGAGGGAACTCTTCATCACTTTTTGGCTAGTGATAAGTCTCACTTGCAAGACAGAGAGATTCAGTCCATGCTCCAGGATATGGCAATGCGTCTTAAATCTGCCGGGTATGTCCCTGACACAGCACAAGTAGTGTTTGATGTAGATAAAGAAGAGAAGGAAACTGTTGTCTCTTATCACAGTGAGAAATTGGCATTGGCATTTGCGTTAGTCAACTCCAGCCCTGGAGAAACTATAAGAATAATGAAGAATCTTCGAGTTTGTGGAGACTGTCACTCAGCCTTTAAGCTTTTTTCTGAAATTTACAGACGGGAAATCATAGTTAGGGATGCCATCAGGTTCCACCATTTTAAGAATGGGTCTTGCTCTTGTAAGGATTTTTGGTGATGGGAAGTTGCAGAATGTGGTTTCTTATAGGTCCTGTTTTGGTAAGGATGGTCAAAACCCCATTTTGTTATTGAGACACGTATGAGGAGTGAAATAAGTGTTGTAAACTCTTATAAGGTGGAGGGGTCTCATATGAGGTAATCTGAGTGGTTGAGGTGGCTTGCTCCTCCACTGGTTATTCGAAGCTGAATTGTGATACAGCTCTCTGCTTTGCTTTCAACAAGGGAATGGTAGTTTTGGCACCAAGTTTTGGTCAGAGAGTTGAGATTTTGGTCTCAGTTGCAGTTGGGGCATACTTTGCGGCTTGCAACTACGCCTAGGATTGGGATGCAACCTATCTTGTTCGAGACTGATGGTGCGGTTGTGATTCATGAATTGAAATCTGTCTTCTGTGATCATCCAACTATGGCTATCTTTAGCACGAGTTTGGACAGCCATTTTCAGGTTACGTTTGCTGCACGTTCAGCCATGTCCGGACGTTATGCAACTCATTGCTCATTGTCTTGCCTAGTATATTCTTTCCAACTAGAGTTTCAAAGAATGGATGGACAGCTGTCCTGATTTATTTCCAATATATTTTTCTTAAAAAAAAGAAATAGAAATCATGTGGTTAGGCAAGAGGATAAACAGCATCTAATCCAGTGTTTGGACTAAGTTAAATGAGGCTGAATATTTCTCAATCAGCATCTTCTTCTAACAAAGTTGACAGATCAGTGCTTGTATATCTTTATGTGCTAATTTCCTATGAATAGTTTTATAGTTAAGTTAATCACAAACACAAGGTGCTTAAATATTCCCAGCATTTCACATGTTTCCATGTGTTTCACAAAAAGCATGTAAAATGCATCAACAGTTGACATGTGCTCAACACAAACTAATGCAATGAATGAATTCACTTTTATCTTTTTTTTAAGAAATTTAATCGAGTTGATCAACATTGGCTGTTAGTCAAATTCATTGATTTACTATTTTAGTTTGTTAATTTGATTTTAATCGATTTAACCTTTTTTTTTCATTTTTAAAAATTTTTTAACTAATTAATTTACTTCATAGTTTAATTTAGAAAATTAGTGACATTATATCTTTTTATGATTAATATAAACTTATTTTGAGAAAAAATTTTAAATATTTACTTTGGTCTTATAATAAAAAGAATGCAAAACATTTTCTTAGTAAAATAAAATGAATTAGTGGCATAAGTTTTTTAGAAAGGAAAATAGGATTGATTCAAATTTTGACTAGCATGACTTTCACATATGTCTATAAGGTTTAATTGGCAATGACTAACGTTTTTTTAATTGTTTCAAATAAAATTTTAAAAAAGATTATTATAAAAGTTATTAAATTATTTAATTATAAATTTTATTTGGTGTATTGATTTAAAATTCTAATTCTAAGATTAAAATTATCTTACTATATTCTGTAGTGAACTTGATTTAAAAGATTGAGAGATAATAAAAATTGAATAAATAGTTTTAATTGGTTAATTATTTGTTTAGATTTTACACATTTTTGAATAAATTAGTAAGGTGATGGTCACATATCTTGTGAATAAATAAATTTCGATAAAAAAATTATGAAAATAATTTTACAGATATTAATTTTGCATTATGTTTGGTTTTTTTATAGAGGTGCTTTATATGATTATATCAATAATATTAATGTTTAAATAAAGATTTTTAAAAATATAAATCGATTTTTTATGTTGCATTTTGAAGTTGAATATTGGTATAGATTATATATTTATATACATTAAAATAAATAAATAAAATTTGAAATCAACAAAAAAGGAAATATTAAAGAGATTATATGCTATTTGTTATTCATTTGATACAATTGATTTTAGTATGTGTGGGTATGAAAAAACTATTTAACTGAGATACAAAAATAATAAAAATAAAAATTAATTTGATTAATGAATTTATAAGTTTTTTAACCGAATCGATCCGAGTTAATCAATTTATTTAATCGTTTTAATTGAATCGTTTTCGGGTCAATTAATGAATTTTTATTCAATCTTAGTTTAACTATTAGGTAAAGAAATCTCCAATTTAAGAATTGATTAACATCACGTAACATGTCACATTCTTATCTTAAAAACAAGTCATTGTTCTCTTGGGATTATGTCTTGGGGAGTTTCTCCGTCATACCATGGGATAACGATGGGAAGAAAAATTCAAGGACGACTAAGAGAAGTTGGTTGAATTTACAAGGGATGAGAAGCCTTGCCTTGGTGGGTCAAAGTCCAAGTCCATTTTTAAACGGTGGAGCTCTGAATTTTCTCAGCCTTCGCCTTGGGTTTTCTTCATAGAAGTTTCTTAATGCCGTGACCTAAGTAACCTGTTTTGGATTGAGATTTTTCCTTCCTAAAGGAGAATTGCTAAATCGACCACAATTTCCTGCCCAACAAGGAAAACCCTACCCGCTTGTAAAATAAGGTAAGTAATTGTAATTATAAGCTAATATGTGACAAAAAGTTTGAAATTCTTTAAAACAATTACCAAGCTTTTGTGAAATGTATTTAGTTGAACATTATAAATTTTTAGATATAATGTTCAAATAAGCTCTTAAACTATTTAAAAATATTTAAATAATTTTTTTATTGAATTCAATCAAATTTTCGTATTTTTATTTTGGATCAAATAAACTTTTATTATAATGATTGATTAATTGTTATTAGTAAAAATATTACTTGTCATTTTATATTTATATAGTACTAATATGACATTGACGTGAAGAATGAAAAATACCATATGATCATATTATCATACTAAATTAGCATATCATATCATCATCACTTATAATACGTCATTATGATATTTTAGCATATTATATCAATATTGCACGACATAAAATAACAAATCACATTTTAACTAAGTCAATCATTAATCATAAGAGTTTTTTTGATTTAAAATAAAAAGTACATAAACTTATTTGTTTTAAATTAAAGTATAAAGACTTCATTGAATGTAATAATAATATAAAGGTTTATGTGAATTTTTTTAAATAGTTTAGATTTTTTTATATATATTATGTATAAATTTTTAAATAATTTTAGGCAATAATTGACATTAATAATTAATGTAATTTCAAAAAAAATTACAATAAGTTAAAATTTGAATTTTTTTAATGTATATTCTATAATTATTACTATTACCTTACAAAAAAAGATTATTAAGATATAAAAGCACTATTATTTCCCGAAGTAAGTTGGTAAGACACGTTTTTGTGACGTATACCACTTTCCATGGAGCATATTCATTCTGGGTCACTTTCATTATTCCAAAAACTTTTGGGGGCATAATGTAAGAATAAAAAACTTTGGCCTTTCTATTCATTACAAAGCATTCCATGCCCAAAGCCACAATATCCGACTTCTGTTTCAACCATCTTGTTTTCTTGTTAAAATTTGTTTATTTTCTTCCATTTCTAGTGTTTTTTTTTCCATATTATAACCAAAAGGCCAATCCAAACAAAAATAATATAAGTAAAAGGGACTTGTTAGATAAACAACTTGTGGCGTCTAAGAGAAACCCCATTCACTTTGTTTTCTTTGAACTTGATATATTTGGTTCTTCATCAAAATATCTCTTTAATTTCGTTTTTGTTTGTTGTTCTAACGAAAACCCATTAAAGAAAAAGGCTCAAGGAAGAGGGAAGGAGGAATATACATTTGTTTTTAGCGCTTTTCCTTTGGCTTTGAAGTCCAAAGAAAGTCATTTCCTTTTGAAGGTGGAATTTTGCAATCTTTAGAATACTTACCAAAAAAGGCAATCTCTTTTTAGAAATCTGGTGAATATCCAATTTGCCAGGGATTCAATGTATTCTCGTTTTGACGTACCGTTTAATGACTCTGTTTAAATTTTTATAAATCGCATTTGCTTAGGAAAGTTTCATTTTTGGTGTGGCAGTGAAAAATATGGAGATCGATAAAGCAATCAGAGAAAGTGATGATACGAGGCTTAAGACCAAGTACAGCAACGCCGTCTATGTTATTACAAGAGCTCTTGCTCTTTACTCGTAAGTTTCTTCATTTTCTAGCTTTCTTTCTTTCTTTCTTGTTTTTTTTCCCTGCTTCTGGGTTTGCTTGATGTAAAGTTTATAGCTTTGTGATTCATGGAATTTTCTGTGAACTGGGTTCTGAATGTTGTAACACCAGGGGAATTTGGTTGACTCTCAATTTGGTTGTCTATGAAAATTGGGGAAATAAGGGAGGTTAATTGTTTAATTTGAATTTTATTTATTTTAAGTTCTATGGAGGAAATCCTTGTTGACCATGTTTAGGCTGAGCCAAGAATTGGGAGGTTTTGTCTTTTCATGCTCTGGTCTCAGATAGTGAAAACATTACCAATCATCCTGTTATGCTACATTTTCCAGCACGCAAATGATTGAAATTAACATCAATGTATCTATTTGTCCTGTGCCAGTAGAAGTTATCTTCTCTAGATGTTTGCAATGGCTGCATGGATTTAACTATTCATTCCAATATGTTTGACTTGTTAGTTTTGGCATTTAGGCACGCATTTAATGTCACATTCAGGGAGATTTTATTCTTTTTAGCTTCATATTAAGAAATATTTTAGTTATGAGTTATCGTGATGCAATATAGCTTAGAACAGCACATTTGCGATCTGATGCATAAAAGACGGATGAAAACATTCAGATACTGATGCTTGGAATTTTTTTAGTTACTTTTGATCAGATATGAATGAATGGTGGTTTGACAAATTGCTTCTTGATGCATGCTAGTTACCGATATTTGTCTGGTCACTGTCCTTTTGAGATCCTTTTAATATAGTTGCTGCAAGTGATTAGTGTTATGGGAGCTGCAGATGTGAGATATGAATATGATTGCTTTTTTTTTTAAAAAAAAACTTCCTTTTGAGTATGCCCACGCGGAGTGGTGGTGCCTCTTTTTTTCCTCCTTTTAATTTCCTTTTATGTGTGTACACATGCATGCAAGCAGAGGGAAAGTCACGGTGGCAGAGTGGGGTATCGTAGGACCAGTATAACTGGTGTAGTTTTCTTTAATTTGAATAAAAACATTCATGCTTGCTGATTATTGATGTGGAGTTTCTGTCCTCCTTTGCAAGAAGGCTAGTAGCATTTCAAGTTTTTTCTTTCTATTTTCCTTTAACATATTTTTCAGATGCATTTTCCTAAATTTTGAACCGTAGATATAAATAGGTGACTAGTTCGTTGGTAATCATTTTCTTAGCATACTCTTTTATCATTCACATGCAAAAACGAAAAATATAATTATAGTAATATTAATGCAATGAAAATTTCCCGCAGGGTGACTGGTTCATTGGCTGTCATTTTCTTTGTATTCTTTCTCACTATGGACATGCAGAATGAATAATATGATGAAAGCTTGGATTTATTTTAAAATTTTCAAACAAGTTTATGCTTGTCTTAATTATGCTGGTGAAAATTTTCAAATGTGCAATTGGAAATCTTGAATGTTGTTAACAGCATGGAATATTAATCATTTTAAAAATTTGTTGCCTTAGTTTATAAATTGCCAAGTCGGAAGATAACAATAAATTCTATGTGCTCTAAATGCTTATCTCAGGTGGTTGGGGCGGGGGAAGTTTGAGCCATAGTGCTTACCTATTGTACCACAAAAAATATAATACTTTATGGACTTGCACAGATTCTTAATTGTTTGTCAACAAGTAAATTGCTGATGCTTGTAAGTTCTAAATTTTTTTTTCCTCTGCAGTATTGAAGAGGTTGCTTTCAGCTTCAATGGAGGAAAAGATTCTACTGTAAGTTTAACATACATTTTTCTCAAGTAATCCCTCTGTTTGCTCTTTTTGGTAGTGACAGTAACCTTTGATGTTATAGGTTTTACTGCACCTTCTTAGGGCTGGCTATTTTTTGCATAGAGGGGAGCAAAATTGTCCTAATGGCGTTCTGACAGATTTTCCAATTCGAACAATATATTTTGAAAGCGCTTCTGCATTCCCAGAAATAAATTCATTTACCTATGATATAGCCAAGACGTGAGAAAACTTTTCTTCAATATTGTCATTACATACTTAAGTATGTTTCACAGATTCTGATGCATAGCTGGGTTTTCTCTGTGAGCAGGTATGGGATGCAAATGGATATTATCCGTTCAGATTTCAAGTCTGGTTTGGAGACTTTGTTAAAAGCTAAACCAATCAGAGCGATTTTTCTTGGTGTTCGGATTGGTGATCCCACTGCGGTAATTTGTTGATTGTGCAATTATAACTGAGTTACATATTTTCCTATCCATTTTACCTCTTGATTATCTTGTAAAATTTTCTTACTTTGATTCTATATGTTGAAAAAAGCTTAAACTTTATGTATATATGGCTTTAAAATCTTGCAGGTAGGCCAAGAGCAGTTCTCCCCTAGTTCACCAGGATGGCCTTCTTTCATGAGAGTAAATCCTATCTTGGACTGGTCATACAGGTCTCTCAGTAAAATCTCTTCTTTACTGTTAATGGAAAGTTCTTTGCAACATATAAAAATTCATTGGATTGAACAGAGGGGAAAAAAAATACAGAGAAATGTTGCTTTGACTATATTGTCCTTACTTTCTATGCCGATGGGTGTGTGATGTTGTGATGTTATTGCACCTCTCATGGTTTTGGTCTGGGATAAATTTTAACTTTTTTATGGCGCTTTGGCAGAGATGTATGGGCTTTCCTCTTGACTTGCAAGGTTCAATACTGCAGTCTTTATGATCAGGGGTAATAATTCTTCTATTGTGCATGAAATGTCAGATCTCTTGCTCAATATTTTGCTGTTTCAGCTATGTTTTCAAGGTTTACTGGTTTTACCTCAGTTGCAAACGTCTTTTGCAACATATTCGATGTGTGCATATAACTTATAGTTGGTTCCCTATTTGTTTGTTACTATCAAACTGTTCTCCATTTGATTGTTATTTAAATTTTCACAGTTATACATCTATTGGGAGCATATATGACACGGTGCCAAATTCATTGCTATCCATTAGCAACACCTCCAGCAAAGAAAAATTCAAACCTGCATATTTGCTTCCTGATGGAAGATTAGAGAGAGCAGGGAGAGTTAAAAAAATTTCTTCTTCAAATGGCACTCGTCTTCCTGCCGTCAACAATGGCCCAGACAGTGTGGATTCACATAGAAACTGGATGTTTACTGCCTCAGTTATTGGTGTGGGGGATGAGATTCTGTAAGTCCTTTGTTTACCTTCTTCATGGATTTTCTTAGTCTTGATTTTAGAGAGGCCTAACTGCAGTTGCAACTATAAAAACTTTACCAAATGGTGTAGATACTTTCCCTTATAGCCACCACTCTCAAACTTTTTTTCTCTCTCTATGAACTGCTATTGCTGACATCTTTGATATTCTTTTTATCTGGTACATAGCTCAGGTTTGGCACTGTTGAGGATCAGTTGGGACCTTCATTGTGCAGAAAGCTCCATTCCATTGGTTGGTTGACATCACAAACTGCTGTTGTCAGGAATGATGTGAGTTTACTGGCACTATCCTTCTCCTTGGTTAAACATAATTTTGCATTCCCTTGCTTCTTCAACAAAATAGTATGTTGTGCCCTACACATATAAGTTAGGCCTCTCAATTGAGAATTTATATTGACATCTGATGATAAGCTTTAATGTTCCTCATTAGGAAATGTTTTTGGAGATTTGTAGAAACTGTGCAATCTTCATTTATTGACTGTATCTTACAATTCCATCTTTTTTTTATTTTTCTTTTAAATCAGATAGATTCTGTGGCTGAAGAGATTGAACGATGTAAATCTACCAATGACATGGTAAACTTTGACAGTTGTTTGAAGAGCCTTTTAGTGCTTATTTGTGGTGATGACATGAAACAAATAAGTATTATTGATTTTTAATATGCTCTATGCTTTCATATCCTTCTAGGTGTTTTTGTATGGAGGTGTGGGCCCATTGCATTCTGACGTTACTTCAGCAGGTGTGGCAAAGGCATTTGGGGTTCGCCTGGTGTGTGGTTTTATTTGAAGTAAACTTTTTAGATTGAAAGATTGGATCATAGAGCTTAGCAATCTATTTCATCAGTTTCTGAAGTTTACCTTAAATCTGCTTTTTTGACAATTGAAACTATATGATTTATTTATGAGAATATCGTTGAAATTTTGCAATCCATCCTGTTTCTATAGGCTCCTGATGAAGAATTTGAGGAATATCTAAGGCATCTTATCGGTGATCACTGCACTGGTGATCGAAACGAGGTAAAGTGTTTTGATGGTTGATTTACACCGTAAAATTTGCCAGATTTTTTGCATATGCATTTATATTGAAGGATGACATTTCAAAATCTAGTGGAGAGAGTATATTATAGTCATCCATTGAGCTTTACTTCGCTATTGGAGATTATTTTGTGGTTGACTGAAACCAAGGGCAATTGCTGCTGTTCAAATGCAAAACTCAAACACCCATGGACATCCCATACTTTTCTAGATTACTGCTTTCACATAAGGAAACACATTTGCAGAAGGAAAGCTGAAATTTTACAATAATTTTGGCGTATCTGCTTTTAATCATTATTTGGATATTTACTTTTTATTGGGCCATATATATTTACTTGTGTTTGACAGAAAATGCAAGTACATGAAATTTGAATTTATTTCTGTTCTGCATAGTATGCTAGGTGTGTAGTTTTCTCATAGTATGAATGTGATCCAATCCTTGGGTTTTCTTCACCAGATGGCTCAGTTACCTGAAGGCATCACTGAACTATTGCATCATGAAAAGCTGCCGGTGCCTCTCGTATGTGTCTAAAACCTCACTATGAAAATTATATTTCAAATTTACAGTAATTATTGCTTCTTGGCCATATTGACTGTCACATATTTATATGATATGATAGATGAAATGTTAAATTGAATCTTTAATTATCTAATGATCATCTATGTAGATCAAATGCCAAAATGTAATCGTGCTTTCTGCAACAAATGCTACTGAGCTGGACAAGCAGTGGGATTGTCTGATTGAATTAACTGGATCTGATGGCTGCTTAGTGACAACGGAACCATACTCATCAAAGCGCTTGACAACAAATCTGACAGATGTATGTGTTGCAATCTCATGCTGTTCTTAATAATCTGCTCTTTAAGTTACAGTGTGCTTTCCTTGTAAGAGTTGATTTACAAAATGATGCTTGCATTTTTTTTTTCAATTTGATTTTTTTTGTGATATCAATATTCTTTTGCTTTTAATGTCATTATGCTTGGGCAAAATGCAGGTAGAAACTGCTCAACCCCTATCAAAACTTTGTCTTGAATTTCCGGACCTTTACATTGGTAAGGGTCTTCACAATTATTTAGATTTTTCTGGAAAATATGATATTTTCTTCTATCTATAGCTGAATGTTACTCTTTTTGTGCCACATCAAGGTTGTTTCCGCGAATCTAGACAAGGGCCCCTGGTAATTAGCTTTGAAGGCAAGGTACAGGAGAATATCACGATGATGTCAAGTGTTATTTCTCATTAAACTTTTCATACTCAAGTTTTTCCCCCTTCCATACATTTATGCTTCACTAATTTGGTTGCAGGACCTGGCTAGAATTCAAGCAGCTCTAGAATCGTTGTGCAAGAAGTTCCATCCAGAGGCATTCTCTGAAGTCAACTAGATAAATCTGCTGTTCTTTAAAGTTTTGCTTGTCAAGCTTCAAAAGCCAAGAAGCTTATTTAACTGCAGCAACTGCTAATCCCTGTTTCCAGCATATATATGATTGAAACGTGGCTTTGGATAGAATTGGAAGTTGAAGTTGTAATTGATAAGGGAGAAGGAAGGTCAAAAAGGGGAGATCACAATAAGTTACATGCTCAGTAAATGGGCAAGGCCTTGTGTTTAAGGAAGAAAAACGTTTATACAGCAGTCATAATGAACTAACTGTTGAAAACCAGAGTGACAGTTTAGGACTGTAAACAATATGTATTTGCTCTTTAGCTAAGATAAGTGAATCCCAAGCTCAATTCTCGAGACTAAGTCTTTCAGAGTAGAGCGAAGTGATCATTCTTTTCGAATTATCTGATTCTCCTCATTTGTTTGAATCGCCAACACTCTTTCTTATTCAAGTGCTGTCTTCCATTTTATGTGTGAAGTTTCGAGTTAGATGTTGCTTGCTTTGCATTTTCTTTGGCTGATAGATTGAAAACAAAGCAATTTACTGGGCCTGGCTCATCCCACTGAAAGTCTGACAGGCTACTTGTCATTGTCACCCAACCCGGCATTACTATTATCTACAGCTTTTTCTTCGTGTCATTCTGCATTTGTGTAAAAAAGAGCCACCATGTCAAAACAATGTTCACCATATGGTTAAAGCCTTAGAGGGTAAACATTCAAAGTACATTTAGTCCGGATATCGAATAAGACATCTGATTGCTTTACTCCCACAGAGAGGGTTTTGTTGTGTGTGTGTGTGTGTGTGTGTGTGTGTGAAGACAAGAAAACCTAAGAAAGAATAGAAGAAGCAATCATCAAAGAGGAGTCTGCGGGGATATCCAATATCCAGTATCATTTTATCCCAGACTTGATAGCTGCAACCTACCACCTTTACCATCCTGTTCACCATAATATCATCAAGAGTAAGAAAATGGAAGGCGACGGAGACGGCAGCAAGAAAGGGTTGGAAGGCACTGGCTTGGATCTGCCGCAGAATAAGCACGGAAACTTGAAGAGTGCTTCAAGCGATCAAGATCTTAGGGACGTTCTTCTTCATATCAAGTCCTCTAAAACCCCTGTAAACGCCTTTTTTTTTTCTTCAGCTTTTCCATCTTAATGGGTTTCTTATATTATATTTCCACAAAATTGCAAACTTTTAAATTTGTTACCCTTTTTGGATGTGTTTGCAGACAGTTATCAATTACGGAGCCTCATGGTAAGTCAATTTCGGTGAACGGGTTTCCTCGAAATCATGCACAGAAACTGTTTCATGTAAAGTTTCTGTGACAGTGAAAAACTGATGTTTTTCCCATTCAGAAAATCGTACTACTGGGGAAAGGATGCAAATTTTGGCCAGGAATTGAGAAAATGACGGAGTGATTACGGCTGACTTCATTTAACTTATGTTTCCAGTTGTTTATGAATCCTGGACTGTTATTATGTTTAGTGATTTCCAAGTTGTTGTGTTTTTTTCCTGTTCAGGTGCCGCGTTTGTAGTCAGATTCTCCCTGCATTTTGCCGGCTGAGCAACCAGTTTCCGAAGCTCTCTTTCATATATGCAGACATTGATGAATGCCCAGAAACCACACAGCACATACGTTACACTCCTACTTTTCAATTTTATCGAGATGGTGAAAGGGTGGATGAGATGTTTGGTGCTGGAGAAGAGCGCCTCCAGGATCGCTTGTGGTTACACTCCTGAAGAATTATGCTAGTGCGTTTTCTGGATATCTCCTTTCTCAAATTATGTGGATCTGCTGTCTTTGAATTATTGAACTTCACTTTGACTTTAGTTGCTGTCTACTGACAATTGACTCTTCATTTTGCTTAGTGATATTCTATATATGAGCATATGGCTTCCCAAATGCATATGTATTCCTATGCTATCTGTGTATGTACATGTGTATCAAATGCATATGTATTCCTATGCTATCTGTGTATGTACATGTGTATCTTCCACCTTAAAGGCTACAACACTGGAAACTGAGTTTAAGCAGTAAGGATATAGCTGACAATGCACCTATCTAAAGTTTGGGAATACAGGAAGAAACAAATAATCTAGCAGGTGAAGCATACTAGTGCAAATGGTACAACTTCATAAGAGCAGCAATATTTGAATAAGAGAAAAAATTGAATGGAATAATAGACAAGATAGAATCCCCGACAACCAGCAAGGATGGTTGCAGAAACAAATCATGCGATGAAAAGTAGATAGAAAGTAAAGAATGTAAAATGAAACAAATGACAGATTCCACAAGTACCATGCGGATCTAAAATTTTCCTAATACCTCAACGTGTAAGCATACATCTTGAATACCGCCATTGACCTGAGCCTTTTCAGTATCCAATGTGTGTATGCATCGAAGGTTTCTTTATTCTTCCCCTGTATACCAGAATCATGGCTACGATGGTAACCATTTGCTCAAAGTTTATATAGCCAAACCAACTTAGGCCTTCGGCTTAAGAGGCTTAACAACCTCCCAAGTGAAATCTGGGTCTTCCCGTCCGAAATGACCATAAGCAGCAGTCTTTTGGTACCTAAAGCTGCCTCCTCTCATCAAGTCAAGATTGATAGAGATCATTCCTGGCCTGAAGTCAAAGTTCTCCTTAATTAATTCCAAAATATCCTTGTCTGGGATCTTCCCTGTCTTGTATGTGTCTACAAAAACCGACAATGGTTCTGGCACACCAATTGCATAGGATACTTGCACGATACAGCGACGTGCAAGCCCTGAGGCCACCACACTCTTTGCTGCTTGCCTAACAATGTATGCACCACTTCGGTCCACCTTAGTAGGATCCTTCCCTGAGAAGGCACCTCCACCATGAGCACCCCAGCCACCATAGGTATCAATGATAATCTTTCGGCCAGTGAGTCCTGCATCTCCATGAGGTCCACCAATAACAAACCTACCAGATGGGTTGAGGTGGAAAATGGTATTGTCATCGAGATACTTCGCTGGAATAACAGGCTTAATGACATGCTCTTTCAAGTCCGCTGCAATCTGTTCATTGGTGACAGTCTCATCATGTTGGGTTGAAATAAGAACAGTGTGAACACGAATAGGGACCATGGCTCCACCCTCATTGCGATACTCAACAGTCACTTGGGTCTTACCATCAGGCCTCAGCCATGAACATGTCTTGTTCTTTCTCACTTCAGTGAGCTTGGCGCCAAGCTTAGTTGCAAGCACATGGGTCAGAGGCATGAGCTCAGGAGTTTCATCTGAGGCATAACCAAACATGTGACCCTGGTCACCAGCCCCAATTTCCTCAGGTTTCTTGCTGAGGTGGCCATGAACTCCTTGAGCAATATCAGGGCTCTGTTGCTCAATGTTAACTAGAACTTTGCAGTTGTCAGCATCAAGGCCAACATCGGCTGATGTGAACCCTATACCTCTGCAAGTATCCCTAACAATTTTCTCATAGTTAACTTTGGCCTTAGTTGTGATCTCACCAAAGACCATAACCATGTTAGTCTTGGTGCAAGTCTCACAGGCCACTTTGCTTTCTGGGTCTTGTTCTAGGCAGGCATCAAGGATAGCATCTGAAACCTGGTCACACAGCTTGTCGGGGTGGCCTTCATTGACAGATTCAGAAGTGAAAAGGAAGGTATCCATATCTACACTTCCCCAAATCATAATGCATTAGATTAATCTCACTTGAATAAAAAATTAAGTTGAACAACAACAAAATTAATTCAGCACAAATCATAGTAATAAAATCGTAAGGAAACCAAAAAAAAAAAAAAGGAATTGCAAATATCCGCATCAGATTTGAATCCAACTTCAAGATTTCACATTGATTAACTAATACTCTTAATTTGTCGTTGTGGCTTTACTTGGTTATTGCTTCCTCAAAATTTTCTAAAAAGCAAACTCTTTTTCATATATTTGATAAAATATGAGCATATAATTAATATATAAAAGCCATTTAAAAGTAGAACTTGCTATTGAAAAGACTATAATCAAGCAATTTAAAGTTCAAAAAAAAATTAAAAAAATTAAAAATTTTGATTATTTCAACATATTCTTTTCTTTTACATAGAAAGCCAAAAAGAAAGTAGCCAAAATAACAAATCAACATTAACTAAGAAATAAAACCAAGCATTTTATGGCCCTAAAAACATAGAGACCATTTGCATTCTCATCTTTAAAATGATCTAGATTTCTCATATCCGCTTAGAAGAAATGAAAATCATTAAAATTTAAATATGAAATGAGTTCATTCACAAAGGAAATGAATTCCATTTCCATTTACCATAAGAACAATCCAGAAATGAAAGTAAACTAAATCTTACTGATATTCCAACCGATCTGATCTAAGCAAAGCTGTATCAATAACAAATATAAAGGCAAAATGAAGAACAATTCGAATTACAGTCGGAGAGAAACAAATTCCGGAGAAAGAGAGAGACAGCGAATTGGAGCGTACCTTATTTGAGATCTGAAAGAAGAGAGAATGAGAGTGAATACGATAAGAGGAGGAGACACAGAGGAACTGAATTATAGAGGGAAAATGGGATTGTATTTATAAAAGCGGAGGAGGAGTCTTTTGACTCGCTCTTACTCTTCTTCTCCCTCTCTCGTTTCCCCGCTCTTTTCGCTGCTCGGCTCTTCTCCTTTGCCTTTCCCGGGTTTTTATCGCCTGATAAGGTTTTATCTCCTGCTTCTCGTCACAGATTTCTGAAACAATCTCAACCGTTGACATTATGACCAGATCTGGTTGAGGAAAAATGGAAGGGCAAGATGGGATGCTGTGACCATCGGAGTGAATAGATGATAAGGGTTGGCTCAACTACCTTACCTTTGCGGTTGGTGAGAAATGGGGTCCCACCCGCACCCACTTTCCAACATGGATCCGGGGATCCATCACTTTTCCAGTTTTCTGTTTCAGATTCGGATGAGATCTTGCTATTTTTGCTACCAGGCCTTTCACATGGGTTGGGTCCCTTTTTGGTCTTTTTACTATTTTTATCAATTTTTTTTTTAAAAAAATTAATATTAAAGTATAAAATCCATTTTGAAAATTGGCATGGCCCGTTTCAATTGGCGTGATGGTTCGGACAATTTTTTAATGATTAGCTTATTAGAGCACGGAGGATTTGCTAACGGTGAATATTTTTAATTTAAAAAATATAGTTATTAATTAGAAAAAAAATCTTCATTTACAAATTTAAAACTTATTTTATTTTGTAATGTAAAATTCATAGCATTTTATTTTAATTATGTAAATACTCTCGTTACATTGATTATTTCATCGTATTGAAAAGGATTTAACCTTAATTCAAATTTATCTTAATATTAATATTTTCATAAAAGCTCCATATCAGTGAAAAATTGAGTAAATTGTAATACCATTTGTCATGAACTCACACTTTTAACTTAAAAGATAAGTAGGTAAAAGAAAACTCTTGCTTATAAATCTGTCTCATATTTTACCGAACCTAACAGAAAAAGATTCATTCCAATTTTACATTAATCATCATTATATTTTTTAAATTTAAACAATGTTTGGGGATTTGTGTTCAATGAATTACCCATTATGTAAAGAAAAAATTCCACAATTACATTTTCCCTTCATTCTATTTTTTTTTCTTAGAAAAAATTAGAACATAGATATAATAGTCCAAGCTTCTCACCTTAATTCCTTATTTACCTCGCTAAGGTGCAAGGGATTTACATGCTCAAACTCAAAATCTCTTACTGTTGAGATGATAATTAGAGCCATTACCCAATGGCTTGAAACGTAGAGCATGTTATTAATAAAAGGCTTGGGCCTAACCAAATGTGTTATAAATTTTAGAGCAAAATATTCATACATCTTAAAGTTTTAATCAAAATTATACAAAAATTAATTAATTTATGAAATAGACACTCCACTCCAAAAAAATGCTTGTCGATGGACACATAAATCTAATTGTTAGTCAACAATTAAGGTTTCTATTTGTTTGTTGATGTAGTAATATTTTTTGAACAATTTTACCCTTAAACATGTAAAAAATTACAACATTATATAAACGTTTATTTTCATTTTAATTTTTTTTAAAAAATAAACCTACCTTTCTTCTTTAGCTAAATTCTATCGGATTTGGTGTTCTCCCACTATATCTAATTATATTTGGTGCATTGTGCTCCATTAGGAGAGCACCAGAGCTCTGTATGAGGGGAGGCAATCTAGAGCTCTAGATCACGCTAGATTTGGCACTACAAATCATGTTAGATCAAGTGCTCCAAATCGCTCCAGATCTAGCACTCCTCGACATCGAAGAATGCCAAATCTAGCCATGGGGTGGCCGATCAACGTAATGGAGGATCGTCAACTGATCAAATTGTTTGAAAAAGATAAAAATTGAGAGAAAGAGGAAAAGGTATTTTAGTCTTTTCACTTTTTCTGTTTATGGTGTTAAGACTTTTGGGACAGAATATCTATTTTTCAAACTACTGGACCTTTGAACAATTTTGGTCAAAAATTGGGGATGTCTAGATATTTTACCCTAGATTTTATGTTTTAGGTGACAATAAGTTGGAGAAGTGGAGATTTTGGAAAAGTATGTTAAAGTAAACATGAAAAATACAAGTGTTAATATAACTTTGCTTCATTAGCAGCTTGGATGGCCAAAAACGAAAAAAAAAAAGGAAACAAAAAGGCAAAGAAGAATTGCTAGCAAGAATAAAAATGTGGGAAAAAATATATTAGAAAATCGATGGAAATATGAAGGCTATATAGGAAGGGTCAAAAAGTAACACGAAAGCAAATGAATCGGATAGAGTCCAATGGCAGTTCAAAAGATACTACTAGTATGATGAAAGGTGAGGTAAAAGGGTCAGTTTGTAATCACATGGAAGATGGTGGCACAAATAATGACTACCATTTCAACAATGAGATAAAAGGTGGAAAAATTATTTAAGGAAAGGAATTAAAGTAAGGAGAGTGTCATTTGAGTAGTGGTAGTAGGCAAGAACAAGACAAAAGAAGTTAGGTCAGTATGCAAGCTTTAGGGAATAATTGGATTTAGTTAGGTAAAAATTAGGAAGTGGTAGTGGAAGAGGATTTGGTTAGTGTGTCCATGGGGGTAACAACTAAGTGTGGGTTGATGCTTCAGCAGTTTGAAGACATAAAAAGGATAGAGAAGGCAAAGAAGGTAAGGAAGGAAAAGGCAAAGCTGAAAGAAACAATTAGAGAGGTATTGAAAGGAAAAGGTAGTAGGGATGGAAAAATGGGTTCGATTATAGACATCGATATTGGTAACAAAAATCACATTATAAGGCAAGAGGCAGGGGTAGCGTTGGTGATAATAGATAAACTGGGGTTGATGTTTGTGGATGATAGAGAGGCTTTAACTAAGGAATTTGGTAAGTTTGAAAAGGAAATGCAAGAAAAAAGGGCAATTTGAGGTAAGTGCATTGGTATGGTCTCTTCGAGTTTCTTGTATACTTTCCCATGAAGTTACTCACATGAAATGTAGAAGCCTTGGTAATATCAAACCGAATATGATAATGCTATAAGAGTCTAAGTTGAAAAAATCAATAATAAGATCTTCAATATGTTAAAAGGGAGAAGCAATTATAAAAGACTTGTTGCAGAGTCAAATAGGGCATCTAAGGGCCTTATTACACTGTGGCAGGATGACTTTGTAAAGGTCAAAAATAGTTGTGTGTGCAAGACCTATATTTTAATTATTGAAAAAAATTAAGGATGGGGAATTCAAATGTGGTTTCGACAACATTTGTGTGCTAATTGAGGAAAAACAAAAAGTAGAGTTATGGGCTGAACTTGCAGAGAGGTTGAAACAAACGGAGGTGCCGTGGTGTTTAGGAGGAGACTTCAATGCAAACTTGATAGTTGATGAAAGATAGATGGCAATAGTAAATGTGAAGAAGATGGAGAACTATCAAAAGTTTGTTAATGAGGTTGGGGTGATTGACTTACCTATGGGATGAGGTAAATACATTTGGTGCAATAACAGGATTGAGGTGATTTTTAGTATACTGGATCGATTTATGCTCGAGGATGAGATGTTCAAGAGGTTCCTAAATTTGAGATAGATATGCTTGTCATCTTCCCTTTTTGACCATAACTCGATGTTGTTGAGGAAAAATGGCATAGAATGGGGACCAAAACCATTTCGATTCTTTAGTCATTGGATTGATGAAGATGGTTTCAAAGATGTTTTCTCTTTAGTCATTGGATTGATGAAGATGGTTTCAAAGATGTTTTCTTGGAGGCTTGGCAAGAAAGGTGCAGGAAGAATAGAGGCAAGGGAGATCTCTAGCAAAGGCTTAGCTCATCAAACCCACAATTAAAAGTTGGCAATCTAACAAGTGGAGGAATAGTCAAAACAAAATTAAAATGTTAGAGGAAGACATCCAAAGAAAACTACAAGAATGGTAAAATGGTAGTAGAGATGGATTGATTAAAAAGGAAATCTTAAATACGAGAGTTGAACTTTGGTCTTTATATAGAGTAGAGGAAAGGTTGTGACACCAAAACTCGAGGGTGAAGTGGTTCCTTGAGGGGGATGGGAATACTAAGTTCTTTCATGTCATTTCTTCTGTGAGAAGGAAGAGAAACTTAATTGATCAAATAATCATAAATAACACAATGGCAGCTGATCCTCTGAGCATTAAAGAGGAAGTTGTATGACATTTTGAAAATTTTTATGGGTATAGATCGGTGGCCAAATTAAGAGATTGGAATGTAGATATCGGTACACTCTTAAAGCAGTCCATTTCGTTTTTAGAGTGTCAATTTTCAAAGGAAGAGGTAAAGGATGCTATCTTTAATTATGATAGGAATAAAGCTCCGAGGCTAGATGGTTTCAACTTTAACTTTTTCAAAGTTTAGTGGCCAACAATCAAAGAAGAGATTATGGTTTTCATGAAAAAGTTCTATGATACTAGAACGTTTGATGAGAGGATTAACTCTTCGTTTGTCAACTTAATTCCAAAATGTAATAATCCTATGGCTCTTAATGAATATAGACTTATAAGTCTAGTCGGGAGAATGTATAATGTAATTGCAAATGTCTTTGTTAATAGATTTAAGGTGGTGATTGGTGAGGTTGTGGCCCCTAACCAATTTGCTTTCATAAAAGGTAGACAAATTGTTGATTGTGCACTTATTGCTAACAAACTCATTGATAGCCTCTAAAAGAGTAGGGATGGTGGTGTTTTCTTTAAGGTGGACTTTGAAAAGGCATATGATAGAGTGGATTGGAATTTTCTCAAATTTGCGATGCGAAAAATGGGGTTTCATGAAAGGTGGAGGAGGTGGATCATGCATGTATTACTTCGGTTTCCGTTTCGGTTCTAGTAAATGGGTCTTCCACTAGGCAAGTTAAATTGAGATGCGGATTAAGACAAAGATACCCGTTATCTTTGATTTTTTTAATATTGTTGTAGAAGCTTTTAGTGCACTTATGCGTAAGGCAGTTGTGATCGATATGTGCAAAAGAGTGAAAGTAGGAAACAATGGACTTATTATCTCTCACATTCATTATGCAAACGACACAATGATCTTGAGTAAACCAAAACTTGAAAATGTTCTAAATCTTAAAAAGGTATTGCAATGTTTTCAAGTGATATATGGTTTTAAAATCAATTTTCGAAAAAGTAGTTTATATGGAATTAAAGTTCGAGATGTTTTGTAGAATTGGGTTGCTAAGATTCTAGGTTTGGTTAGTTATTTACCTTTGATATATTTAGGACTTCCATTGGAGGCAAGACATCATTCTTTAAGTATTTGGCAGCCAGTGATTGAAAGGTTTGAAACCAAACTTGCAGGATGAAGTTTCAACCTTCTTTCAATTGAGAGGAGGATTACCCTTATTAGATTCGTCCTCATCAACCTTTCGATCTACTTCATGTCTCTTTTTGAGATACCTAAAGGCGTTAAAGAGGAATTGGATAAGATCCAAAGGAGATTCCTATAAGGTGGTTTAATGGAGAGGAAATAGTTACATTGGGTGGATTAGGATTTAGTTTGCAACCTTAGAGATTGTGGGGGACTTGGTTTTGTTGATCTTAGGTTGAGAAATAGGGCTATGTTGAACAAATGGATTTGGAGGTATAGTGAGGCTAGAGACAGTTTGTGCCAGTCGGTAATAATTGCAAAAAATGGAAGGGATAGGATGAGTCTTTTACTATATGAGCTGGGTGGTAGACGTCCATCTACCATATGACGAAATATTATTTATTCTCTAACTTTTCAGAGAGTTTTTCCTCTTTTTTGCCTGCAAGTATTGGTTATTTGGTCAAGAATGGTGCTAATTTGTTCTTTTGGAAGGATGAATGGATTGATGACATTATTCTCGAAATGACCTTCTCTTATATTCTTGCTCTAGCCATTAACAAAATTGGTAAAGTTAGCGAGTTTGGATCTTGGTTGAATCGGGAATGGCTATGGAAACTAGAGCTGAAAAGAAAAGTCCTAGACTGGGAGATTGAGACATGGGAGCAATTTAAAGCATGCCTGAGAGAGATATATCTCTTGTTCAAGACATTAAAGACAAGCTAATTTGGAAACACACCCTAATTGGTCACTACTCCCTAAGTTCCTTTTGTAGAGCAATGTTAGGCAATAATGGGACAGAGGTGGAACTATGGAAGAATGTGTGGGCTGCTTTGCCTCCTCCAAAGGTTGAGATTTTTATTTGGTAAGTTATCAAAGGAAGGGTTGCGGTTAAGGAAGAACTTGCTAACAGAAATCTTATGAGTATGCTACCTATGTGCTTTGCATTTGAGAAATGGAGTCGGTCAATGACCTGTTCTTGACTTGTATTGAATCTTGGAGGGTGTGGAGCAGGTGGTATGAGGAGTGGGGAATTATTGGTTGTATGCCAAGGGATGCCACCTCTCTTTTTGTGGCATGGAACTCGTGTTGTGTGGAAGCGGCAGGAAGAAAAGTGTGGAGAATGTCCTTTTTCGCTATAACTTGGTCCATTTGGCTCTATAGAAATGAAACGGTCTTCAAGGAAAAACTTTAGAATATTACGAAAGTTATAGATATAATTAAATTGAGAGTTGCGTGGTGGGTCAAATCCAAGTGGCCAAGTGAAAATAAGTCTATCACAGATGCCTTCTTTTTGCCATGCGAGTCAACTATGAGGAAACCGAACATAGGTACTACTTCGTGGGAAAGACCACTTCGGGGGTCCTGGTCGCTTCATGGCCTTGCCAGATTGATGCTAAGATGTGATACTAGATGAGTATGACAGGCTCAGTCCCTGGTATACATCGTTACATCCTGCTTTTGCACACGAGGAATGTGTTTTCACCTGGGATGCTTTGCTTGCTGTTTTGATGGAGTGATAATGGATGGTGCCTCTTTGAAAGTGTGTAAGGATTTGAAAGAAGTGGAAACATGCTTAATGGTCTGGTTTCCTTTTCTTACTTGTTCTGCTCTTGTTTTGTATGGTTGGGTGGTTCTGAGGGCATTGCTTGAATGATTGAGTTCATGATGGGGTTTTCGTATAGATGATAGGATCATCTATTGGCAATTTTTGTAAGCTTGATTTGAGCAGAGTACCAAGACTGGCTTTGATTGGATACTCTGCCTGTTTGTAAAGGGTTATTCTTGCCCTGTTAATGAAACAACCTTAATTTTTTTTTTAAAAAAAAAAAAAAACTTTGCTTATGATTTTGTGCCATGCAAATTTTGCTACAAAATTGTACCTAGCTGTCCCTTTGCAATGCAACTTCCTAAGAATTAAGAAATGCTGATATCGATGGGAGTATAATACCTAAATACCAGAAATTGAGGAAAAAATGTGTATATATAAGCAGAAGACAAAGTCACAGCTGTAATCAGAACCTAAGGCCAAGTTGAAGTCCAAGGGCAGCATGGATAAGAAACAGTGTCATGATCCCACTGCCTAAAATTCCATGCACATTCCTCAATCCGGGATTAGCCTACAAATGATTTAAGAGGGAGAAAAAGACCATCAGGGAAAGCAAGATTTTGTCCCACAGCAGAAGAAAGAAATAACTGTAGCAGAGAAAAGAACATACGAATGAGTGAGAAGGTACTCAAACGTTAGGAGCAAATGCTTCATCAATTACCTCGAATAGTGTTGGCAAAAGGGTTTGTATTGTCAGGAGAGTAAGACCAATGAAACCTGTAACAGCATGCGGACTGCCAAGAAATATGCCAAATGTTTATTCATTCAAGGTATTCATATATGTGATTGGAGTTTGGAGATCACGTATATCAGGATATAGAAGATGGAATACCTTTCAAAAATAGGTTTGTCTGAAGTTAGCAGAGATGTTATTCCACCGGTTGCTCCAAGAGCAAAGAAGAAAAACATCCCACCTAGAAGCTTTGGGTGCAAGTCTTTGGCCTTGCCCTTTTCCTCCTGAAATGATAAAAACGCTATCAAGGTAAGAAAGGAGATTGAAGAAGGCATCCTTGTTCAATCACAATTGACTTTTTTGTTTTTCTGATGAATTTCTTACCACGTCATCAGAATAGCGAATGCGGAAACCTAGATATGTTCCATACCCTCCCATGGCAAAGAGCACTACTGCCTAAGAGTACCAGTAACAAAAAACCCATTTGTATCAGTTCAGAGATGTGAAGGAATACTGCTAAGAATATTGTAAGGCAAGTAGTTGCAACAGATAACAAAGAGTGAAGGAGAGAATCTTATACCATGTTACCGGGGTGTCCCCAGTGCACAAGCCAATCAGGAAGATTCCATGATTTCACTAGCTCAACAAAAGGACCAAAGAGAGACCTTACAGTCCCAGCTGTTGCATAGATTTTCGAGCTTGGAATAAGCACTTGGGAGAAAAAAGATAATTAGAATAAAAACCTACCATGTTTTAGATCTCTCACAGCGAACCACTAACTTGTCTTGAAAAACAAATCGGTGAAGTGCTAGTATTTCTAGTTTTCCAAACAATCCAAATTCTACCTCTAGCTCCATCAGTTTAACCAACGTATCAATCAAATCTCAGGGCATTTTCAACAACAATGCCTTTAATTTCTATCAACTTTGCTAAAAACCATAATGCAACAGTTTGATTTAAGCGTTTATAGGTGTCAAACTTTTGAGTAAAGAAAGAGTCATAACAAAAATATAAGCAAATTCTTAAGAAATATCGCCTGCAGAATTTTCAATAAAAGCAGGAGTTTTACTTTGAGTTCTAAGAATTCACAAGAATTGTGGACTAAGATATGTTCTTCACATGCTGATGTTTTTGATGCCTAAAAGGTTAACATCCAATGGAAATTCCTCATTAGTTAATTTCTTTGATTTGGAATTGACAGGTTCTTAGCGGAGTATTCAAACAATATTTATTACCTCAAAACTTGTAATACATTTGCATATTAGGATGTTTACATGCTGAATATGCTCCTTTAGAGAAGCATTTTCAGAGATCATTGGTTTGGTTAATTGTGCAAGAAAAGGAAACAGGAGGTCACGTTCTAGGAAGAGGATATGATCAGTTGGCATGAACTAATCAGTAAGTTAAAGTGAAGCACTTTTACATATAGCAGTTCTGAAAAGATGTTATAAGAAAATGTCGAGTGTTTTCCATCACTGAAAAGCCTATATAAATTATCAAACATCAACAGAATAAACCAACAGAGTGATTTGATACTGAAATGCAAATGAAACATTTATTAGCTATTACCCCCGGGAAGAGCAGCCACAACTAGCAAAGGCAAAGGACTGAAGGAGTACAGTAATGTTTCTGTAGGCTCCCCCAATTCTTCCACTTTCGCATCTGCGCCATCGTCAGGTTCACTAAGCTCATTCTTTACAGCAAAAGATTGACTAAGCAGACCTTTTCTCTTTCCTCTTGCTTGCATCGCATGCAAACGCCTAGTTGGGGTACCAAAAGAAGTAGGTGGGCAATAAGGAAATGAGGCGGCAAGGAGGATAGGAGAAGCCCTCAAACTAAAGGCAGTAGAAGCACTTACTACAGCCATTTGTGAAACGGAATAAAGCAGCAAAGAAATGAGAGAATGTCTGTGTTTAGTCAAGTTTCAAATGCTGGGTTGGAAGCCAGACCAGAGTTGGAAAAAAAAAGAGCAGATTGGGAGGATGACAGGAGGTGAAGTAGGAAAGGTGAAGAAACAGACACGCCAATAGATGTGGAACCTTTCCACGTGGTCTCAACACACCTCCCTTCCCCAATTCCCAGCAAGTACCAAACCTTTCTAGTCCCTTAGAATCTAGATGTTTCAACCTTCCGGTGTCCTACTGTCCTATTGGAAAAGCCGAAAGAGCATAAAAGTACAAAACCCGCCACTCAGTAGTTGCCGTTTAGTAAATTTAGCCCAATCCTATAGTATGGGGAAGTGTTATGGGCATGTAAGCATCTTTGTTTTCCAGAGTAATGACCAACTCATCGAAAAAATATTCTGGAATACAGGAAACTTATGATTTCCCTTTTATAGTAAACCTTGGGATTTGCTTCTTATTTTCTTGGGTGGGAACTTTGTTAAGCAGATTAGCAAGCAAAGGAGAACTGAGCAATGCAATCTCATCTTATTAATTTTAATTATCACGACTAGCCCAACAAGAAAACAGACTTTGGACTTGAGTAATTCAGTATGGTACGCACATGCAGAAGAATATTTGCGCTGGCAACTGACCAAACCATCCACATCTTTCAAGAAGTTAATTAAGATGATGGCCAATCTCATTGGGATTTAATATTTGCTAGCGCTCCCAAACTGCACCTGTAATAAGTCCGCAAATTTTAAATTCCTAACTCACTGAATCTTTACAGCTCTAAGTCACATGGTAACATGGACAATTTTTATGGCAAGATTCTACCTAAGGTTCCTATGAACCATCCTACAGAATTCAGAGTTCTCAATGTTTACAAGAACTGGAGATATACATCGGTAGCTACAAATCATCTGTACACTGGTAGAACCAGACGTTGAGAAAACCTATTGCTTCAATGTCTTCTATAATAAGTCATGAATTTCTTGATGAAGCTACACATCCTTTGCTAACTATTACCTTACCCTTATGAACATGAAATATCAAATGTTTATGTGATTTTGCATGTAACTCAAGGGGATATCACAAGGAAAATGTATAAAGTCCTTTTTTTGTGTGTTGCAGACAGCCAACCACAAACCCAAATCTCAAGGTCATGCATGACACCAGCCACCTTTCTCAATGCAGGCAATGTGCTTCTCTGTTCCAACTGTCAACTAATATTGCTGGGTGCCGAACCAATCCAGTATGGAATCTGGCAATCTGCAACCATAAGTGTAAATCAACAATCAAGCTTGCTATACGATGATGTCCACTAGAAAGAAACTTTAATATAAGGTTTTTTTTTCTTTTAATTGGGAGAGGGGAGATTCGAACCCTGCTCTTTGGACAGGGGGATTATGCACCAATCAATAAGCCAAATGCTCAGGTGCAACTTTAATATCAGGTTTAACTTTTAAATGTTGCATTTTACCTCTAGTCCAGTTGAGTGCAAGCCAAGACATGCGTTTCACTAAAAGTCTTTATATCAACGAGAGAGTGAAATAATTAAAAGATTTTCTCAAAAACAGCAGGCATAATAATTTCATCCAAATGTTAGGCACAAAAGAATAATGCTTCCATTATCAGAGTCAGGTCCGCATCAGTTTACATAACAAGCAGGCAGTAATGCTGGTTCATTATTTAAGGTCATTATCAATATGATATGTTACCATCACAATTTAGATTTTGCATTGATTGGTACTAAGAAGCTAAAAATAAGAAGGCCATTTACCTTATTGTTATGCAGTATATGAAGAATCTCCCACCCAGCCGAAATTTATCTGTCAACTTGGAGAATGTTGTTACATATTCCACCCTTGTCAGTTGACTCTCTCTGTGGATCAATCTCCCATTTACCATCAACAATAAATTTTATCTGCAATCAAATGTAATGATAGAATAAAGTCACAAAGGGTTAATTCCTTTTATCATGCATAGCCACTATTACGATCTTCAATGACAACACCAGAGCCAAAAATGATGTACATTCAAAATTTAAGGCAGTTACCCTTTAACTTCACTCACATCTTCTGTTTCTCAATTGGAGTAAAAAAGTAAGAATTTAGCTGTAGAAATAATGTAAAAGCTTCTCTCCCCCTTTAAGCCTACCAAATTGCAGTGGCAAATGATAAGTTGTTTCTTTCATTCTCCATGGTTTTCCAGAATAGTGCTCTTAGCGAAAGAGCTGTGAACTTTTCAGCTTTTTAATGGATTTTTTAAGCAAGCATTGGAGAAGCCTCTTATAATAAGTTGCACTTTTAATCCTAAACCAAAAAGCCCTATTGACTAATTGGTCTTAATTTTGGTGGAGGCTCATGCCCTACATCAATAATTGGCAGTGTAGTATGTGGATCTAAGAATTCTATTTAAAACCCAAAAAACCAAATAGTATTCAATTTTGTTTCATACTTAATTTTGAACAACATGTTGTTCAGTTTGGTTTGGTTTCTGAAAGCCAATTAATTTGGTTTGGGCTCAAAAGTGATAAAACCTAATTTCTGTAGCAACAGGCAGCTGTAAAAATATCGCCTCTTCTGGAGTGAAATAAATTGAAAAAGAAAATGGCTTCCATATAGGGGCAGTAAATGTCTAGAAGAAACCACATAAATACAGCCATAACTATACTAATTAATTCTCTTCAGATATCAAGATAAAGTTGGAATGTTATTTAGTAGCAGTTCATACCTCATATATCCCAGGATAAAGCCATAGCACTGTCGACCAGAGTTTGGGCTTCCTGGAAACCATGTAAACATAGTAAGATAGTTTTTCTTGTAACAATTATTAGCAGAGACAAAAATATTTAGAGAAAAAAGATAGCATGAAGAACCCACAAAGAGAATGAGATATGCTGCTACACGTCCAAAAGAAACCTTGTTTGCTAGTTATAATAGAAGAAAATATCATGCAATTCAGATGAAATACAAGTGAGGTGTCAATTTATTTTAACATGCCACAAAAAATCTTGAGGAATGAGTATTATACGAGTGCAACTAGAAGGAGACCAAGCATTATCTTTCAGAAAGACAACTAAACTAATTCAAGGCCATCTAGTGTTTGTTGTTTTGCAACTAAGTGGGTGTCTGAGTTGTTTGTTCAAACTTTTGTCAATGCATCTAGGCAGGTACCACAATGAGCACCAACTCAACTTTGGGAAGCTCATGCACACACTTTGTCTACCAGGTGATTTTCTGATATAATTTTCAAACTTAGCAAAATGATTGAGAAGTAAGATAGTTACTCTAAGCTTGACATAGATGAAGGAATATACAAAACATACCCTTGAACTAAGGTCCATGTCAAGCTATGACAAGCTACCTCTGTATGGTTTCTTCAATATTGTATAAATACCAGGTCCTTTAAAGAAATTCTAGTGGGAAGGAGTTAATTTTATAGTGCTACTATAATGTTTCAATTAAAAAAGGAACAGTAGGATATTACTGAAAACCACTTTACCGGTGAAATATAACAACTTGAGTAACTTAAGCTAATAATAACAAAATGTTATAAACCAGAAGATATAATTAAATCTAAAGACTAATACTCAAGCTGAAAACTATTCAACAAAAGGGAACATTGAACACCTTGATTCAATGGGGTTTTTGATGGTAGAAGATGGCTTAGGATCCATTTTAATCCGATGATGCCAACCATTGAAGCTACCAGCTACCTCCACAATTTCACCATCTCCAGAGTATTCGATTTGGACCTATTATAGCAGTCTAAAATTCAGCTTCATGTGGTCTGATATTTATTTATTTATTTATTTTGTAAAAAACTACAATAACAAACAACGAACAGGAAAATGCTGGGGGACATTGACTGCAAAAAAATAACATATAATCTTTTCTCTTATTGACTGGAATAAGAGAAAACTAGTCTAGAGGTGGCGATTGGGCGGATCAGGTAGTTTCGGGTTATTTTGAGTTTGGGTTATTTTGGGTTTGGAGCAATTGGGGTTCGGGTCATTTCACATTCAGGTCATTCAGGTTTGACACTAAGGTTACTCAGGTTCAAGTTGTTGATTTTCAAAGTAAAGTCAAGTCAAATCAGATTGGGTTGGGCTCAGGTTTGGTAGGTTTTTCAAGTTTGGGTCAGCTTTGCCAGCTCTTCAAACTACCACACTCATTAAAGATATATTTATAAAAAAATTAAAAAAAAGAAGCCAACTAAGGCTGTTTTCAAATATACCAAATGCACTTGATAACAGCCAAGCAAAGTAACAGATGAATACCTCCTCTAGTCCTGAGAGGCTTTCCTCAGCAGCATGCAATTCAGCATCTTTCTCAGAGACAAGTTTCTGAGCTTTGTGGATCTCTGTTTCAGCCTTGGTTTGCAGGGCCGACAAAGCATTCTGGGAAGAACAATGATTAGCAAAATACTAATGGTTTACTCATGGAAACACCTCAAGAAATGCATAACATTTCAATCTGTGCTTGTCCAACTTTTAGATACATACTTTAAGGTCTTTATACGTTACATGGACACAGCACCCTCATGTACGTGCAAGAACTAAGCAAATGCTTTACTAGGAAGCATGCCTTTTGAAATAGTTCAGGTACCTTTTCCTTTTCAATCTGCTCCTTCAAACGGGATAGTTCTAATTCCTTCTGGTGCTATGCACACAAACAGAAACAACAAAGATAGCACACAGTTTATGCAACAAAACTTTATATACAGACAAAATCATAAGAGTAGTGAGTAGTGAGAGACAAAAGACATTCAAATATATACCAGCATAAACTTGAGGTGATTAATCTCAATTTGATTGTCCCTTCCAGTGGTCTGCAACATAGAAGAACATACACTGACAGATTATATGTCAAAGTAAACACTGAATTTAAACCAACTTAGAACAACAGGGCATGTGTAACAACCTCAGAATTCAAATCCTCCCTCAAATCATCACCATTTAACATATGTGCTTCCATATTATCATGACTGCAAATAAATTAAATACCAGAAGACTTGAGCCTTTGTTGATAGAACCAAAACAAAAGGATTAAAGAAAAGTAATGACGTAAATTTACTCAAGTTGAATGAACTGCAATACGAAAATTTATCATCCATGCCTCCCGGTTTATTAACAGTAAGTGCCATTAAACTACTCACTGGTCATCAGATAGCACAGAAAAGTATTCTAAATAATTGTGTACTTTAAGCAAAAGTAATCAGAGGTTTAGCTCCAGTACTTTAAACAGATGCACAATATTCTAACCTCCAAGGAAGGTAATTCACTGCCACGGGAGGAGCAACCTGCTTGGCCACAGTTGTACTTCCATTCAATGTGATAGCAGCACCACAGGCATGTTCTGAGCATTCTTGACTATTGGCCCTAGATTGAGTTCCTACTTCAATATTAGTTTCAACAACAACTTCGTTCCTTTCTTTGTCAGCACTTTCATTTAACATCCCACCAACATTATCTGCATATCAAACAGCAGCAGATACTTAACTTCATGTTTCAGTCCCAAACAAATATATAAAATGGCAATCTTTTGAATATAGAAACAGGCACCAAGGAACATCTTGGTAGTTTTGACTTTAGAAAACAGGCATCAGACATGATCATTCTTTCTGTTGAAAATAGCACACTTAAACTACAGAAGCAGGACACTTCAAATATCATGAGTTGAGTAATTTGTGTTATATGTTCAAACCAAAAGTAAAAATTCATCTTCATTACATTGGGCACAAATTGACCAATGAGTGAACTAACGATACAGTTTATCTACTGAAGCTTACACTCAATTGAATCCAAATCTCCTTTTTGAACAAATTTTGCAACTTTTTCCTCCAAAATTGACATGGCTATAGATTTTTCAGGCATGGAACTACGGTCGTCAGAATTAAGATCTGGATTAGCATTCAAACTCCCAGAATAGTTTTCCTCAATTGAGAGAAAGGTTGATGGGGAAGCATCTTCAACGATAGCATTTTCCATTTCCTTTTGATCTCCTGAAGTGTGCATAGTATTTTTCTTCATGCAACTATGGTCATCAGAATCACTATATACTCCAATTAAACTATTCCCCATGCTGAAAACTTCAGTTGGCAAGGAAACATCTTGGATTGCATTCTCCCCCTTTTGATTCTGACCTTTAAACTAATAAAATTACTTTATCAACAACAGGCAAAGTTTAATTGGAATGAGAGGGTTCATAACGGGTAAAAGAAATTTATGTTGACCTTCCAAAATATCTTCAGAGTCACCAGTAGCATCACACTTTTCAACTACACTTTTCTCCGCATTAAATCCGTCAATGTCTATCTCAGGTGAGCTCGTAAGAAGCCTTTTGATAAGTTTGTATCCTCTCCGTCTAACAATGTTTGCCAGATCATTCCTACAGAACAATTAGGCAAGAAGAACCAAAGCACATCAATAAGGATAAAAGTAAAGGCTGAAGATTTTCTCTCCCCTCTCCCCTCTCCTCCATCCCTTTTCTCTCTTTTGCCATTAATACATAATTTGGCATCACAATAAATCATATTGAGTAAATGAATAACAGTAACCTAGGACTAAATGAATTTCTACCCTTCAATCATTAGTAGTTTGGAAACACATAAAACTCCAAAATCAGAACTTGTTCTCAATCAAGGCCAAACGGATAAACTTTTCATACAACCCAACTATTACCATAACAACTCAAACAACCCATCTTCAAGTGAAACCAAAAAATTAACGAGAGAAGGAACCAAAAGTATGAGTTTTAATCACCTTCCATGCTGAGAAAGCTCTTTCACGGAGGGAACATGACCGTCTGGAAGTCCAACCGCAGCTACAAATTCCCTTATATCATTACAAAGCTCCTCATTGCTCTTTACCTTTCTACCACTCCTGAGTTAAGAACAAATAGCAAGTCAAAACCAATGAGATAAAATGACCCAGAAAAAGGAAGAAAAGAAATCTTGAACCTCTAATAAAAACAAGAACTTTGTCCAAACCTGGGTCTTTTAATAGAAAAGGCACATATTTTCAAGCTTCTTCTTGGTGGGTATTCATGAATTTTCCAGCTTAGCCATTGCTGCGGCTTTGATGAGAAGAGGGGTTTATGAGAAGAGAGGGATAGGAGAGTTGGAAAGTGAAACAAGGTTGCCATCAGGGGTGAAACCTTGTTGCAGCATTGAAGACTATAGTACTATAATCTTTTTATTGTCGAGTAATAGAAATCCTGGCAAAGGCAAATCTAGAGTTGGGAATGTGCAAGGCTTTCTGGTCTGTAATTATGATTTCAGACTCAGTTTAGAGTTTGCTGAAAACAAATTAGTAGTGTCTAGAGGATGTATTTTCAGTTTACTGTTAGATTTTCAACTGTCAATGTTCTAATGATTAAATCGAAAGCCGAGTAGACATTATCTTATAATTTCTTGGATTTCTTTCAAGAACAACAGGAAAAATTAAAATCAAAAGAAAAAAGATAAACGAAAATGGAGAATTAAGGCCCACCCAACTCAACTCACTGTTATTTGGAAGGCCCAAAAGCAACGTATGTTGGGTGTTTATTGCTAACAGCCCATACACGTTTGTGAGAAGATACCCATAAACAAAATCTTTGTGCCTGTCTTTATTGTAGCTGCGGTCTCTTCGTGGTGAAGGGCATTTCCTTTCTCAAAATATTGCATACAACGGTGTGCTAGCTTTGTTTCTTCTGGTTTTGTTTAACTTCAACCGACGTTTAAGCCCAGAAATTCTTGTTCTGCTACTTTTTCATCTTATTTGTTTCTTCTTCTTAACTCTCTTCTAAATTTACTTTAGAGCTACATTCAGTGGCGGAGTTAGAGCATTTTTAAAGGACGGTCAATAAAAAATAAATATTTTATATATAATTTAATTTTTAATTATTTAAAAAATTAAATAAAATTCATAAAATATTAAATATATAAAAAATATATATCAATAGTAATAACAATGTTAAATATATCGAACGAAATTATAAAAGAAATTATTTTTTTTATTATTTGAGAGCAAGAGTAGAATATAAAATAATTTTTAAATTCAAATGAATTATTTTTTTATTTTGTGCATTCTACACAAAATGGGTAACTTTCTAAAAAAGTTCTCTTCTTATTTTTTATTCATTTATTAAATCACCAATTAACATATTAAATTATTAAGTTAAATTATTGAGATACAATATATTATGATAAGCTATTGAGTTGGACTATTAAGTTATAATATATTATGATAAATTTATATTTATATTAAAACTTAATTAGTTTGGGTCAATAAACTTACTCCTTTTTTAAAAAAAAATTTATAGGCTAGAATAATAGTTTAAAATTTATATGATAACTAACAATATGTTGACTGACTCCAATTTTATCAAATGATTGAAGGAATATATATATATATATATAGTAAATAAATATTTTTAAAATTTTTGGAGAGTTGTAACCTCATGATAACACTACCCTCCACCCTGGTTTATAGAGTCACGTTATTATTTATTATTTATTATTTATATTAATTATTAAATAAATTTTTTTTTGAGAGAATCATTAAAAATATATATAATATATAAAAAAATTTAAAAAATTTTGAAAGAGCCATGAACAATGGCATGCTCTGCCCCTGGCTACATTGTTGGTCTTGGAATATATATACTTATCAATGTAGGAAATAATATGATGATAAATTGTATTCATGTCTTTCTTTTACACAAGAAAATTTTCAATGTTCAACAATAGCAATGGCTAAATGATTGCAAATAAAAGTTATGCAAGTCACATGAACAAAGGCTTTTTCATAGTCTATCTCATACTCTTGAGTGTAACCCTTGACTACTAAGCAAGCTTTATAATGCTCAATAGATCCATCTAAGCAGGTGTTGATTTTATAAACTCATTTGCAGTCAATGGGAGTTTTACCAAGAAGGAGGTCGATTAGATCTCAAATATGAGTTTTCTTATCAGATTGAAGTTTGTCACCAATAACTTGTTACTAATGAGGGTCAACATTAGCCTTTAGATAAGATTAAGGCTCATGCAAGGTTACAACAGCATAAAAACAATGATAATCATTGAGAGAAAAAGGTATTTCTATTGCTTGAGTATAATAACAAAAGGTGGGAATAGGCAAAGTATCAACATGTAAATCAAATTCTACAAAGGTAAGAATATGAGTGAGCTCATTAGAAGCAACTCTATCGGAATTGAAAAATAACTCATTAGATGTGTTTGTAAATAAATAAGAGAAAGTGGAAAAGAGGAGTGAAATTTTGATAAAGAAGAAACCATGTGTCTTCACGAAATATGTTATGCCTAGAAATACATGATCTATTTGAAATTGGATCTGATGGATGATAATTTTTTTATTCGATCTTATAATCATAATAGCTAAGATTGACATACAAATCAAATTTGGTATACTCATATGGTTATAGTAAAACAAAACAGACACACCAAAAAAGTTTAAGAATAGAATAATCAAGTAGAGGCAACTCGATAACCTCAAAGGCTTAAAGTAAAGTATTCAAATAAAGCCTTTTTATTTTTATTAAAATTTAAAAAAAATTAAGCTTTGAATAATCGAATTCATATTTTGATTTGATATATTCAAATATTTATTATGAAGTATCAAAAATATTTTGCTATTATAATTATTTTATATTTTTTTAAATGGCTAATATAAAATCAACAATCAAAATTTTTAATTCAAATAAATTAACTATTACATAAAATAAAGACAATATAACAATATAATATAAATTCTAAATTAAAGTAAAAAAGTCTGTAAATATTATAACCATAGTACCTAATTATTGAATGTTTATTGCAAATTATAAATGAGACTCACGGCTATATGAAGGTAATAGCATAATAGACTTCTTGCGTAATTTTTGGAGGAAAATTGAAGTTAAAAGAAAAAAAAAACCATATGATAGAAGAAGAAATCAAAAGTGGATATTATAAATTGAAAAAAAAATAATTGGTTTTATATATAGGAAATAAAATAGTGGTTGAAAATCATTAAATACATTTTACCATTAATTGATTGGAAATAAAGAAATAAGTGAGCAAAAATAACTGTTGGAGAAAATTAAATAGATTGGAAATAGGAGAAATAGTTGAGAATTTATAGTATTGTAAGAATTGAGAAGTGATAAAAAATTAAAATTTATTAGGCACATAATTAGAGAAGTAGGAGAATATGTCATTTTATTGATTATTTTTAATTTTTATATATTTTTAATAAAAGTGAGATAATTAATTTAGAATTAATAGGGATGTGGAAGCGAGAGAAAATAAGTATTTATTAGACATGAGAGAATAAGTAAAAGTATTTATTAGACATGAGAGAATAAGTAAATATTTTATTAATTATTTTAATTTTTATATATATTAATATAATTAATTATATTTTATTATAGAAATATGAGGCCTCTTCAATTTAGGACCTAAAGTGCTTGCTTAGGTGACCTTACCCAAAGGTTGGCCATGTAATTAATAAACTTACAAAACAGACATATGGACAAAGGTTATTAATGTTTAGAATCTGAGTACAATCTATTGCATACATGGAAGTTAAAGTAGTTTCACATCAAAATTTTCAAAACAAGAGGTAAAAAGGAAATGAACTTGAACCAAATCACAAATGGGATAATGTTTACATTCAACTCTACCACTGCATCATATTGCCATGTTGACCAAGGACTTGAAGAAGTGAAGAATCTTGATATTCCATTGCATTATGAATTCAAAGTATTTTAATGGCATGAGAGAACTGAGTTTTGATCATGGTAACATAATTAATATAAATTTGAGATAATTTAGATTTTATATCAAAAAAATAAATCGAAGTATAGCAAGAATAATTATCAATAAATATTACAATATATTGATAACGGTTCACTAATGATATAAAAGAAGATCCCCAAGTGTCATAATGAATAATCTCAAAAGGAAAATAAAAAATAAAAGTATTATTATTAAAAGACAGAGTTGGTTGTTTTGCAAATTCATAGTTCAAACAATGAAAAAACTCAAATTTTGTAGAACCAACAATCCACAAGAAATTAAATGACAAAGTTTACTTGCTGAAGCATGACCTAGACAAAGATCCCACTGATACAAAAAATTAGTTGTTGTGGTAGCTGACACATGTTTCACAAGGAGATGAATGGAGACAAACTCAAACAAGTTTCTCACCTTGCAACCCATCCCAAGGATCTACCTCGTCTATGGATCCTATACCTAACAATTAGAATAAGAGAAGAGAACAATGAGCCTTAGATCACATAATTGACCCACAAAAATAAGATTTAATGTTAAAGTAGGAACACAAATGTATCAAGAACACTAAGATGTGGGTTATAAGTATGTCCAATGTAAGGTTTATTCGTTTTTGTATCATTTGCAGTATGGATAAGAGGAAGAAACAAAGAGAACATTTCAACGGATAAGATAGAAGAATAAGATTAGGAGTCATATGATTACAACAAGTAAAGTTAAGGTGCCAAGATGAATTACATGGAATAACAAAGTGGATTTTGACGTAACTGTTAAGGTTTTGGAGAAAGCTCAAAAAACCAGAAGAGAGAAACTATCAATAAAAAGAAGAAGATGATGATTACATTAAAATTTTGGTAATTTAAACACAAGTAGCGAATAAAGGAAAATAGAAAACAATAAAATCAGGAACCACTTAGGCACTAAACGTGTTGTAGGTAGTTCTTTTACATCATGGTTAATGGGCACATAACATGCAGTAATTAAGAGAAATAAAAGAAAAAAAAAACTAAAAGCAACCATCGACCAGTAAGTTAGTGGCATCATGAGGAGGTTCGTGCCTTCTTTTCTGTAACTTCAAACCTCAATTGATCAAGTGTCAAGGTGACATGGAAGCTTATGTGTTGGGTGATGTGATAAGCTAACGTAGGAAGCTCATGAAGCGAAGTGTTACAGTTTGCTAACATGGCTAGATGATCTAGCAGCTGATTGTACAAAGGAAGCATGCAAGCAAAGCAAACCCAATCAGATCAAAATAGAGGCAACGAGATTGCTCAACACGTAGTTAACTGATGGAGCTCCGACACTTGATGACCAACAAATTGACAAAAGATAAGGCAGTTAACAGTGACAGTAACAAGAATTGGTGGTTGGAAAGTGATGTGGGTCAAGCAGCGAAATTACACTAAGTAGTATTTGGTACGAAAAAAATGAGAACACATTCTCTTCAATGTACATTATAATATTTGTTTCGCAATAAATCATTATAATGTAAATTGTAATGTAATCACATTACAACTAATAGATTTAATATGATTACAGTCTAAAATCAATATAATCATATTGCATTACATTCTATA